CACACACACACACACACACACACACACACACACACACACACACACACACCTCGTTACAGATTACATTCTGGTTTTCATTCAATTTGATAATCTTTTGATTTAAGTTTACCTGTAAAGAATTAGTCATCTGTTGCAACCCTAAGCAATATAATATATCGTAAAGCTCTTTCTGAGAGTGTAGAGTGCGTCATAATAAAAGCAAATAAAAACAAAGTATATAGTGTCTAGAGCAGGGGTATTCAATTAATATTCATGGAGGTCCAGTAAGAGAGAATTTCCTCATGCAAAGGTCAGGAACATCACAATAATGTCTAACTTGCGCTATGATTTTGTCCCATATTTATTGAAGTAGCCTAACAGTTGTATCAACGTCTGTCATTTCAAATAAAGAAAGATAAAGATGAATAATATCTCAACAATATTTATTGTCAGATTTCAAATTGAACTGGATTAATTATAAATAATACATACTCTAATAATAAATTAACATTCTTTCATTTTGAGTAAAATAAGGACTGGATTAAAACAATAAAATACATAACAGAAAGCTTTTGAAAAATGTGAGTCTTAAAATACATTACTTCATTTTAGAAAAATGTGCTGAACTGAATTGTCCTGCAGTATTACATTCGGTTCATTCAGGTGTGAAGTGATGTCACCCAAAAAAGCCACGATATTATATTCTTCTCATCTTCTAAAAAGATGCATTAGTGTGCCGGGACTTTATCTGTGGTTATTGTATTCACCCGTTTCAGCTCTATTCCTCTCTGTTAACATCAATTCATGTGTTAGGATTCTGATCATATTAAGCTCTTAGGTTTATTTTTCTGTGCCTTCATTTCAGATGCTAGCGGGTACGTTTGCTCAAAAGATGTGTGCTTTTTCTTGTAGTGGTGCTTCACATCGGGGCTTTTAAAAATCCCCACGGTCTCTGAAAATGAGACATACTGGTTTTGAACTGCCCGTGGGACTGAACATATAAGAGTCTGTCCATTCTTAGTTAAAGGCTCCGGTCTCGCTGTTCACTTTTCTCTTTTTGGAGAACGCCATGTGAAATAATTTCTCTGACTCACGCTCTCTCCGATGGTTCGTTCTCCCTCACGTCTGTGTTTATCTCACTCGAGTCGAGGGCGATACTTATCGGAATACACATATTTGATTGGCCGAGTAGCATCACGCAATACAATTTACAACATATGTAATTGGTCTGTGTGTTTAATGAACTGCTGAACGAGTGCAGTAATGGCTAGAAAAGCTGCGCTGGTCAAAATGTAATAATTCTCAATTCTCGATCGGTTTCAGGTCTGGGTCCAGATACAACGGCGGTTTGGGTCCGCCCATTAGTGACCCCTGGTCTGGAACTTTATGGATATTTAATTTACATTTTTGTCGCTAGCGGTGAGTTCTAAGGGTACTAATGTCAGTCAGGCCTTTGGGCAATCAAGATTATGCAACATGTATTGACGAGATTTCCATGAAATTGGAGATTAGGAATATTGAGTTGCCAGAGTGTTGTTCCTAATGATTTGGTTACAATCTGACATTTTGTCTAATGCCACTAATATATAACACATATATGGCATTCAGAAGTTGGTTTTCTTGGATACCAGAAAGAGATTAAACCTGGTGTGTAACTCCCTAGGGATTAGGTTTTGGCAGAGTCTAGATTCTGCTGACATTGGCACAATCATCAGACAACAGCCGAGATTTTCATTTAGCAATTAGGACAACAGCTGGAATTAATTAGCTGATACAATCTGACACCGATGGTCGTCCACCAAAAAGGAGGAGCCTGGCCTTCTATTTAGATAGTTAATGTATTCTCTTAAAACATCAGGAAACATGCTCCAGTAATACTGTGAAATCAATTCATCTTATAGAAAGTGACGCAGTAAGTAAAATCAGTCAGTACTGTATTACACACTCCTACCAAGAACGTGGTTTTCATCCACTGGCCACAGATGATAGAGTTAAATATCCATTAAGACACATTTTGCAACTTTATCATCTCCTCTGGGCCTTTTCCCTCCCTTTTGAAAGTAATAGTCCAGTATATAATATATCTCTCCCCGCCTCTTAAGCCCTTTGAAAGTCTCCATTTATGACTCATTATCATGGTGATAGGAGACGATGTTAAAAGGAGTAGCACCGTGAACAGTGTGTTATAGTAATGAGAGGAGATAACAGTAGATTATGGGGGACTTTGACACCAGGTTTCCTATGCGGCTGCAGTTTGAGTAGCCTGAAGCATTACTGTAACCATGTAATTATGAATTAGGCCTGGAACGTCTCACTGGCTAGGTAGAGGTTTAGATCCACTTTGTTGTTAGCATCCCTCGCTGCTACAGGATCAGCCATGTATGGTGAATGAAGCATCTCCCTACTACATCATGCTGTCACACTGGGCGTCCTGTGTGGCTGTAACCCCCCCACACCCACCTCCCAGAGGCATCTCATACACCCAGCGCCGGAGTGAGCGATGAGCACACACATGCACCAGTGCACCTGGTAATGCATCGGCACAAAGATCAAGAAAGGTCCCGTCTGAGGGCTTCATTCAACGCTGCAGTGCTTTGGGAGGAAATAGGCTGCACTGGTGGCTGATTTACAGAATCAACACAAAGGGGATTTTTTCTCTCTCTCTCTCTCTCTCTCTCTCTCTCTCTCTCTCTCTCTCTCTAGCCCTGTGAAAAGTAGTTTTTTCTGTGTGCTACACTTCTCGAGCTCTCCTGAGCTCCTCGCAGAGGCAGCTGCAGTAGAGAGATGGAGCTGTATTTAAATGCCTAAAAACAGTATGTCCACATGGAAGTAGGTGGTCTTAGTCACACTAGTGCAGTCGGTTGCTTGGTCCACCACTTTAGAGGGACTCATATCTCAACAATCGGATGGAGTGCCATGAATTTTTGTACAGACATTCTGGATTCTGAATTATCCTCTAGCGCCACCAGCAGGTTGACATCAATGCCTTTTAGTGACATGTCTCAACAGCTATTGGGGGGGATTGACATGCCAATACACTGAACTGAGAGAGACAGCATTGTTAAGATTACCTGCTAAAAATCATCACACGTTAGCAAGCTGATATTAGCATATCACTGTAAGCACTGCCCACAGCAGGATCACGGCGGGATGCTTTTTTTCTAAAAGTGGCTTCTTTTTCAACTTTTTTCACTGTAGGCCGCTGAATTTTTTCCCAGCATCCCCTGCAGTCCCCATAGCCGTAGCCTAAACAACGCACTACCCACATTCAAAAGGAATGGGAGGACTGGCGGTTTTTACTGCGACACCTGATTTGGTTTGAATGCAGCCTTCCTGATATATGAGATTTAATTTAGACCTTTTGAATAAACAAGAAGAAAGATGGAGAGGGAAGAGGAGGAGAGATGAGGAATAAGTTCTCATCACAAATTATTCACTTTGCTCAGACTGTAGCGCCTCAGGCTGGGAATGCACCCAAATCTCTCCCTTAGACACATGGCTTCACACACACACACACACACACACACACACACACACACACACACACACACACACAAAGAGACACTAAACCATGCACAGTTACGCAAACAGAGGCAGAGATGAATGGCTGGTGGAATTCATGGCTCCGAAATTCCCACAGTTGATGCTTGCTTTGTAGCAGTTATATGTATGAATGGTCTGCCCGGGGACAAATACATACTGTATCCTCACAGAGACAAAAAAAAGAGTCACCTCATATCAAATATTTAGATACTACCTTTGAAGAGGATACGAAATTACGTATGAAATTACGAATGGAAAACCTTCATTATCCGTAGCCTCTTCTCTTTTTATTTCATGCTTTTAAAAAAATCTCTCTATGTAACTTGAATGCCGAGCAGATGATATCTGACAATAGAGGGGAAATTTACAATATGTAGTGTTATCGGACAAAGAAATCTGTAGTCCGCATATGTTGTGTGTGTTATGAGGGCTGGGCTTTTAACTTTAAACAGTCAAGCTTTACTGTACGGGCAGTGAGCCCAGCTAATTCATTTCCAACAGTCTGGCAAAGGGCCTACAGTTAGCACACAATGGACTACAATAATGTAATGGGCCTTATCTCCCAGGCAGGGTGAACACAGAGGAGACTGTTGAACAAAATGGCCTGTAAATGTGGGCGATATTCAATTAAATGTAATCTCTTTTTTTTCCCCATTCGCGATCAATATCCTGGTAAAGTGATTTAGATGCTTTTGATCGCACCCAGACCCACCACCCACCACCACCACCAACCTATTGACTGGAAAATCACTTTCAAGGAGGCACTTGAACAGTGGATACATAGTGTATACAATATGAGCGTCAGGTCACATTTATTCATAAAGTGCCTTTAGCGATGCATGACACACACTACTACAGCAATCACTGTGCTGCAACGAGCTGACACTGGATGATTTCTTACTTTTTAAAAAGAAGCTTTTTGTAATCAATGGGAAAGAACTGCCATTGTTTATCTATCCCTTAAGATCGCCCACATTTCTGTTTTACTTTGCCATCCTTTATATGCTAAGCCTCCAACTACTATTGCACTTTCAGCGAAGTCGGTGCAAGATGGCAATTAAGCCTTTGCTGGCGCTGCTGCTGCTGCTCCTGGCTGTGTTCATTCAAAGTAATGTGCTGCTGCCACTCTCTCCTTCCTCTTTAGATCACTGAGCTCCATAACATAAAGAACATTACCCGGATGCCGCGGGAGGCAAAAAAGCACGCTGTGGCGATCATCTTCTGTGACGACACATCCAAGACATTCGCCTGTGAATCAGGTAAGTGCCTCAAATTCAGATTTCAAATGAGTCTTTTTAGCCACAGTAGACTAGCGGAGGGGAGAGGAAAGCTTTGACTTCTTGGGTGTTTGTTTTTATTTATTGCATACAAAGACGTGAATGTGTGGAGGGATATGCTGCATGAGAAGTGGAGGGGTGGTTTGCGAAAAAGTTTCTCAAGAAGCGGAGGAAGAATCAACTTCAGTGAGAGAGTGAGAGAAAGAGAGGTGAAAGAGGTTGTGGAGAATTGGAGTTTAGCCAAGTGATGCTCATTTGCCGCTATATTAAGAAGTGGGAGGATCTGTTCCGAAATATTGATTTTCATACCGCAGGTATGAAAATCTATATTGGGCATTGTTTGCAACCCAATTACGGACTGTAACAAAAGAGATTGCCTCTAATACGTGGGCACGAAGCTAAAGAGGCACATCATCTGTACACGGTCGGTTGAGATTCAGCAGCCTGTTCTTTAGGTGCAAATAAATGGAGCTGGGTTGTAGCGGTAGCCAGGGGCTAGATAAGGCGGATGCACCTTAATGTGCTGGCGCTACACAGACCGAGGATGAACGTCTCCGACTTAACTCCAGCCTCGTGGATGTGTGTGCACATGTGGGTAGCAGTAAACATCAGGGGGGAAATATTATTGAACGAAGAGGCTTTACTCTTGCCTTTACTTTCCCATGATCACTTCTCCTTCACTCTCTTGGCTCATTTCCATGCCCACAGCCCCCCCTCCCTCACACCACCATATGGATGTCTCTATCACCCTGTGTACGTGACCTATCATAGTCCTTCACTATCTGGAAGTGGAAGCCCCTTACATTTATACCCCTTCATTTCCCAGAGTGGGCATACAGTACGAAGAAATGCACGACGTTAATGATTTTTACCTAATGTAGCCAAAAAAAAAAGTGATTAGGCCTCATGATGATCTCCTGATATACATCTTTAAATAACCTTAGTGTGCCGTCAATGAAACACTGAACAAAAGACGGTAGCAGATCTTACATCTTTTGACAGATGTGTGTTTTGGGTGCATCTGTCAAATATGCACCAGAAAGAGATAGAGAGTGCGAGCTGAAGATTGAATAATGCGTCAACTCCTCGTTTTCCACAGCTGAATCAGGACCAAAGACATGGTGCACATGATATTATCTACTATACGTGTCTGAAATGAAGAAAAACAGACTCCCGTCTCCCGATTTGATTCTCACATATTCTCTCACTCTAACGTCCTCTTTTTCTTTCTTGCACTCAACAAAAAAAACGTGACTCCATCTTATACCATCACATACCTGCACTTCCGCACACACAGATATATCCTTCTACGGTATTTCCTCATGCATGGCACACACTAGCGAGGCTGCCTCTGTGCGGATGAAGTGTTTGTTTAGCCAATTTTCCACTCAGTGGCCTTTAAAAGTGTGGGAGTTTAGAGGCACTCAGAGGCCATGGTAACTGTGAATGAGAACGCTGAATCTGGGGAGGCATGAGCAAGGAGCTAAAGTGCAGAGCTGCTGTCTTTAAATTTGTGCGTGTGTGTGTCTGTCTGTATTTCAGCTTTTTGTTTTGTGTGAATGAGGTGCTTTAGGCAGCAGCAGACCTTTCCGTCACCCTGCAAAGTTGTGTAGATCTGTCCCAATGGACACTACAGTTGATCTGACAAACAGGCTGTCAGCCATCATCCCACAAGTTTCAAGTGAATGAAGTGTAAATTCCTCCACACACATATTACACAAGCATGCATTGGCTTCATTAATAGACACAGAAACAGGGTTCCCGTGCTTCCAAACGCGTCTCTGTACACATCACTGGCCATAGTTACATATCCCAGAATTCCACAGGGCCGGGAGATAAGGAGCTTCCGAAAGAAGACCAACTCTGGCATTTGCCTCATTTCATACCTCAGTAACTCTCACCAAAAGCTCACACAAGACAATTGGAAATCCTCTCCATTGTAAACAGTGTTGTTTTCTAACTTAACAGGAAGATGAATTGGTATCCACAAACAACAGATTGCCACACAGACTTCCAGATTTGATACATGAAATCATTTGTCTCAACTTGGCCTCCGATTAAAACATTCAGTCTTACAATGAATGGCCTCCCCCCCTTTAGGTGCCAGCTGTCACATGTTGTAGATATAACTCCCCATACAGAGCTCTGCTCCTAAAACCAAGACTGCTGCTTTAAACACAATTCTTCTGATTTACTCCAAAATACAGTGAACTTAAAGTAGTACTTCCACATTGCTTTATTTGCTTTCTTGCCGAGGGTTTGATGAGAAGATTGGTACTGCTCTCATGTCTACATGTGCGTTACTACCGCCTTCTGCCAGCAGCTGTAACCCCTGTAAAAACCCCCAATGGTTTAAGTATTGATTAAACAAAACAAGAAATAACGTGTTGATTAATGAGCTGCTGCTGGTCAGCAGATCTGTTGCCCCTGTAAAGAGCCAGACTCTCTGTTTCACCACGTTTCCAGACGTGTTAAACTAAGCGCCTGCTGGTGCTAGCTTTATATTTAACATACCAACATTAACTGTATAAATGTTTTCATCTTACTTTCCACAAATAGTTGAAAGTTGAAATAGTCTATTTTTAGTAGAGGATCACTAGTTTCCGCTGTTACTGTGGCCGTATTGTTCCAGCAGACGTATTGTACGGCATTGAAAGTGAGTATTGGCAAAGGAGGAGAGGAGAAACCCATCTTTCACCCGTCGCTGTTGCTGAACCCACCTCCTCTTTTAATCTGCATCGAATTGATCCGATTGATTTTTTTCCCCTCCCTGGTTACTGTTAGCTGTACTCGTGTTCTTGTACATGCAGCATTTTATTCTGAAATTCCTTGGGTGATTTATGTGCATGTGTAAACAACACACTAAAAAGGCAGCACAGTTGTGGTGGTATGATTTGTGTTTTATTGTCTCTGCAGTGTTGGATATGGAGATGTGTGTGTGTGTGTGTGTGTGTGTGTTTAATGGTGGACATGCCTTAACGCTGTACTGCTGTGTGCAGAGCTGGATGCAGAGGAATGGTGTAAGCTGCTGTGCGTGGAGTGCCTGGGCAGCCGTCTCAACGACATCAGCCTGGGAGAGCCAGACCTGTTAGCAGCGGGGGTGCAGCGGGAGCAGAATGGTGAGTGCCCAATTAGTCCCTGCTACCACCGACAGCCATTCAGGGTCAATCTCTCACACTCAGCTCGCCACCAGCAGTTAGTGGTCGCAGTCCAGGCCCGTATGTGTTAATGCAACTGAGTCCTCAGAGGGTTAGAGGAGCAGAACAGCCACTGTCCAATTAGGCCTGGCTAATAAGGGCCACATTTTTTTGTCAATATCTGATCCGAAGTCCCCTGTAACAGTCTTTAGTACATTAGCACATGTTGGTTCAACTTCAGAAGGAAGTTCGGATGTGTGTGTTGAAGGAAACCTGTGTGTGTGTGAGTTAGAGCACAGGTCACAGACTGTGGTCGGGGCTCTGTTCCAACCCTAATGAGAAGTGCTGTGCATCACTGGCTTCCCTCATAATGAAGCTTGTCACAGAGATGGATGAGATTATGGCTCCTAAAGCCACGTGAAATAAATGTGCTTCCCCCACATATTCCACTCACAGGAAATGGAAATGGAAAAAGAGAGGGGACAACAGCGCGCTGCTATCACAGTGGAGCTCATTGTCTGTGTAATTTGCAAACTCGCAGAGGAAATTGAAAAGGCAAACAGGCAAAGAAGAGCAGTTTAAAGTTGTAAAAGGGCGAGTAATTGAAAATAATCTGCCGTCATTTCAGCCCATTTTATTTCACTGCAAGGGAAATCGTGTTCTTCAACATAACTTGGCCTCATTTTTATAAAAGATACACAAGTTTTTGACTGAACTGTAACAAAACAATTCCGCTCACTTCCGTTGCAGCAGAAGTTGCGTGCTCATACAGCAGCAGTGTGTTACGGAGACAAATTGAGTCTGTCTGCTGTCTGTATGAGTGAATGAAACAAGAGGCTTGGGCCTGCACCCATGTTTCAATTAGTAGCCCTCCCCAAACAGCAGGGGCCGATAATTAGATCAGAGTTCATTTTCACTGTCCCTAAAAATACGCCGCATTATGACACTGCCATTTTCTATCCACTGCAGACACATACTTATTTTGAATCATTAAGCGTAATTAGTGAGAACTAATTTAGATTATGGAGAACTCGCTCCCTTTCTTCCTCTCTTCGTCTGCCTCAGAGAGTTAGTTAATGTGACTGGGCAGATTTGGCTCCTTGATCCCAGTCTAGCTCACTGCACGGCTAGTTAGACCCACTTTAGATAAAGTGCTATACCTTTTGTATGGTTGCTGTACTTCACTTTTGCCACATCGGATTATAAAAACCACAAAGTAAGAGTGAGTCAGGGCTAAGTACAGTCAATTTAGTGTATTGTTACGATGTATAACTAAAGATACTTATTGGATAATTGCATGCAAAAAATAGCTGACTATCTAAACTGGTGCAAGATGCTTGTATTGTAGAAACATTACATATTGTTGCAAATTATTTAAAAGCCATGCGTTTCATGCTCCCTGCCTCATGCATCCCTCCGACACTCCATACCTCACATAGCAGCGAGTGAAGAATAATCCATCACTTCATAAGAATTGATCTTTTTATCTTAATCAGGCTCTCTGCAACCCCTTGTAGGACTTACAGCTACATCCCAAATTATTCTATTTAGGTGGTTCATCTTTCACTTTGCTTCTGGTTTCAATAAACAACATTAGATAAATTACAGCCAAAATAAGTCATCTTTAAAAGGAAAGAATAATTATCTGCGCCAGGAAAATCATGCGATTGCTTGTGTGCACGCATGCATGAGGGAGTGTACACCTCTGTTGGTCCACGACTAAATCTTACATTCTGCTGACCTGTCATGGTTGCGGTGACTCCCAGCTTTATGAAAACCCTTTTTTGCCTGTTTTGTACTGACCAATGACTGTCTGCTGACTCCCTTACTCTCCCCTCTTTAGGGGCCTTGTAGGGGCCTCTAATGATAACACAGGAGGGGGGCATCGCCAAACCCCGGCCACTACTCTGCGTCCAGAGACACAGTGTGGGAAAACAGTTTGCTCACTTTTATTGTTTTGGACAGTGTGTTTGGCTAACAGCCAACTTATCAGCCTGTATTGTCAAAAAAAAAAAATAGACTTGAAGCATAAAATAAATGCTTTTACTTGAGGATACACTGTGAGACGGAGCTGAGACACGCCTGTATGATAACAATGAAGCTTCTGCCAGGAGACGCATACAACAGCAAGGTTGTAATTCTAGTTTGTGGATCTTTCCAGAACGTTTCAACGTGTACCTAATGCCCACTCCTAACCTGGACATCTACGGGGAGTGCACCATGCAGATCACCCATGAAAACATCTACCTGTGGGACATACACAACGCCCGCCTCAAACTCGTCATGTGGCCTCTCAGCTCGCTGCGCAGATACGGACGAGACTCCACCTGGTTCACTTTTGAGTCCGGAAGGTGTGTGTGCGCATGATAAGAGCTTGTTTTTCTGTGTGTGTGTGTGATTGAAATGTTAGCGGTGGGAGGGAAAAAAAAAAAAGTTCTGGAAATGTCATAAAAACTTTAACAAAGCAACTTTGAATATTGAAACATCCCGGGATATCAGCATTTGCCGCAGAGCCCTTCAGGCACTGAAGTGACAAGTGCCTCTGTGAATGTGTCTCTTTGTTTGTGTACTGCATCTACTCATATACATGTGTGTGTGTGTTTGACTTCAGTGGGGTATTATATCAATGCGCACACTCAACCATGCATTTTTGTAAATCAGCAATCCAAGAGTGAGCACGATCAAAGCGTGTGCACTTCTCTCTGTCTCTGTGTGTGTGTTCCTGGCGCAGGATGTGTGACACAGGAGAGGGTTTGTTCACGTTCCAGACGCGGGAGGGGGAGATGATCTACCAGCGGGTCCACTCGGCCACGCTGGCCATTGCCCAGCAGCACGAGAGGATGATGGAGGAGATGGAGAAGAGTTCCCAGGTACATTTTGCTTGTTTATCTGATTTTCCCACAGCAGCTCACAATGAGGCCATCACATTTATTCTAGCACTGCCAACATTGCAAATGACTAATAATGCGCGCAAGTGTCAGCATGCATTCGTTTCAGGAATAATTACTTAACGCACGCATAGTGCGTGTCACTTCCAATGCGCTCGATGATATACCCTGTCGCGCATTATGCTCGACGAACTATTTGTACAAAGACTGCATCTGCAAACATAAATAACGTGTTTTTGTTTGAATTTCAATGGTTTCTTGGCTGTCTGTTTGATTTAGGCTGATCAAACTACAGTAGCATGTCATTGAGGCTGTTCACAGAATTATTTTTAGAAACCAGTGAACACCAAGGCAATAAATCATGATTTTCACATAAGATATTCACACACAGACACACACACACACACACACACTTCTCTCAAGGTATTGCTGCCCGGTTTCTCCCCAAAGAGCTGCCATGGACCAGAAGCCCTCTTGACACCCCACAGTCTTGGCCTCCGCTCCCTCCTTCTATCACAACACCCGTCCATCCCTTCCTTCCTCCCTCCTTCCGTCCGTCCTTCCTCCCCCACCTCTCCGCTATCATCTGTATTCTTTATTTATGTAGGCCTGCCTAGTGTTTGATGAGCCTTGACCATATGGCCATGCTCTTGGACCCCACCACTTGGGAACATTTCCAAATGCAGCATTTACCCTCAAGCTCTATAAATCACATGGATAGCAACACAAATCTGACCACTCACAGTTGCAGAATGGGTGAAACTGAGAAAATGCAGATTTACTCGCTTTACTCAGGGTGTTTCTGTAAAATGTTGACATATTTAATATATTTCCAGCAGTAGTCTGGCTCCAAGATGAAACCTTTAGATTAAAGCTGCAAATAAAAGTCTAAAACACATAATCCAGTGGTATAACAACATCACGGTCCCAGATTAATCCTCATCTCGCCCGCCAAACAGCCATTCAAGATTGGAAACACGACATTCAACCAGCAATATACCGTATTATGAGCGCCCTTTGTTTGCCGACATACCGAGAGCAATCCCCCCCTGTTGTGAGTGGCTGACTGAGATACATTGTAAGCGTTCTGTCTCTTTCAGATCCACCCCAGAGAGACGCTAACCAAGTCCATCTCCCTGCCACGCAGCGCCTACTGGCAGCACATTACGCGCCAGAACAGCGTGGGAGATCTCTACAGTTACCAAGGTACAGGCATGAAGTTACTAATTATCATAAATGCGCCGTGTTGCTATTTCTTCACCTGCTCGTGTCAGCGTTGATGTGTGGAGCACTTTGGATGAGCTGGAGGAAAGACAGGCGGAGAAACAAGACAGAGGAATATTGTTCTGGGACTAGAACTGGTGACATGCACGGATCAGTTTTGAACCATAAAAGATTAATGTGGATGCCTCTGAATTCCAAATTGAATGTGTTTAGCTTTGAAGTCTAGATTCATCCCATAATAAGACAGTTTAGATTCTTAGCTTCAGTCATAAATAAATAGTTTTGAACCGAGTCAAACCAGTGTTTTTTTTCTGTGATAAACAAAAAACAGACACAGACGGATTTATAATCTTAATTCAATTATGAGGGACAGAATAATGTGCGAGTGTTATTGAAAGTAAATTAGTTCATGTCTATACGTGTGTGTGTGTGTGTGTGTGTGTGTTTGAGGAACGATGGATAAATGTCACCCCAAATACAATGATGTTGCAGCAGGCGCTCTACAGCGCTCAGGCTCAGCGCTGTATGTCCCCCGTGAGCACTTCATTTACACATGGAAGGGTGTTTTAGTTTGTGTGTGTTAACGTCTAGATGTAGACCAGAGGCAGAGAGGTGATTAGTGAGCTGATGAGATTACTCTCTGTCCATGGTATTAGTTGATTAGTAGTCTTATCTGAGGATTATGGGCCTTTTGGCTTTCACCGATAGAGCAAAACAGAAAGCCAGGCAAAGATGAAAGTCACTCTGTCATCATTTTCTTTTGAAAACCTAAGGCTGGATTTATTTATTTTTTCACTATCATTTAATTGTGGCCTGATAAGCTTTAAAGCAAAAATATGTCTTCTATTCCAAACATCAACATGTTTTTTTACTCATTTACACTAAACAGAGAAGCTTCCACCTCAGGGTCCTTATTTATAGGCCCGGTCTCGGTAAACTCTCCTCTTTTTTGAAACTCTTCCTTTCCAAACTTGGGTGAGCAGAGGAACTTCTCTCTCATCCATCACCCTGGCATCTCCCCTCTGGTCCTCCCACGCTTTCTCTGCATTGTCTGTCCGATTCAGAGCAACCCTCCACCTTCTCCTGCTCATAGACATTCAGCGCTACCGCCATCCCCCCCCCCCCCCCCCTCTCTCTCCTTTCCCATGAATAAATTGAATGCATCAGTGTGTTTGAGGACGCAGCGAAAGGTCTCGTCAGACTAGGGGGACGACAAGGTGATTCTGGGTAGCGACAGGAGTTTAACTCCTGTTGTGACACGGGATGTTTGGACTGTGAAAGGCATGTCAGGAGAAGCTCACACGTGTCGGGTGTTGGTGCTGCTTCGAACATGGCTGCGGGCCAATCTCAGATGGGGAGAGCCATGTAGAGTAATTGCATTGATTCTTCATTGGCAGAAGGTCTCGACCTCCCCGGAGCTCTTTCACGTGCCGTGTGTGTTCACTGTGGTGCTCTTTGCACTTTTAGCATAACCGTATATGTTGAAACAGCACAAAACACACACTGTGTCTTTAGTAGTGCAACTGATTATTAGAGTGTTTAAATATAGATATTCTCTGAACCGATATGAGCTGCATCCAGATTTTTTGCTGTGATATTTTACCTCTCACAGAATTGACACAATTTGCCACAAACATAACACCACTTTTTTTTCTGAAATCAGAATTCAAAACACGCAGACATCACACACTCTGTGGCGGTATTGATTCCCGAGAACTAGTTCCCAAACCACATAATACAGAAATATTTACTTGGAGAAAACAATAAATAAAATCACGCAAGTGCCTTCACAATAATAAAGAAATGCCTTTTCTTTGATAATGGAAGTTCATATGAAGGAGGCTTCAATGAAAATAAACCAGATAACGCCTGCAGGCGTAAGGTTATCGTGAGGCAACAACAAACTCTTGGCAAATAGAAATAAGGTCTGCACTGACGCAGGGGAAAAAGGCATTCCCTAATAATCTCTGTTGAAGACTAACATATCCGGCTGGCAAAGGAGGTTTGCTTTAAGGCGAGGAAGGATCTGAATGCCCTGAGTGTGTAATTCCCCACCTGTCTTAAGCCCTAAGGAAAGGGCTTCGTCACACCCTGATTGGCCAAGAGGGGAAATACACCCAGCTGTTGTCAATTCTTAATTAGCAGCCTGTCCCCCACACCTTGCACACCAGGTGACATTCAGTTCAAATTAATTGGGAAAAGGGGAAATAACAGCAAGTACTAAAGAATGAGAGACTGCTACAACTCACTCTTTACATTGATATCTGGATTTATCGTGTCCATAGAGGATACATTTTAATATATCTGTTTAAAAATCATAGAAAACTCATCAGAATCTACATTTTTCTTTAATAGTTTAGACGCTCCTAAAGTAATATTATTATGGTAAGGATGAGCGAAGCGAAGGTCCTGGAAGATACATGAACACATTTTCTTGCATAATATTTTGGTTTTATTATATTAACATAATGCTGACATCGGTATGCATTGTACTGTATCCTCATGTTAGACCTGTTGTATGTTTTTTGTATCGGATTTATTGGATTTTGCCAATCAGAATCATAAAGATTGCTGTTTACAATCTTTTCTCTGATCACGGCCTCTGAGCGAGGTCAAAGTCCTGACAGACACATGTCTCTGTTCTTTTATGGACATAAATAAATACTGATATTGTAGACGTTACAAGAAAGTAGAGACGCACAACTTATTTATTGACTACTTGGCGGCGTGTCTTATTTCAGCATAGCTAGCACTGAAATAACAACCATTGAGAGGACTTTAGTCCGAGCACACCAAGGTACCATATTACACACTGACCATGTCCAACTGTCAGTGTGAAGTGAGAACAACACAAAAAAGGAATACAACATAACTGTTTGTCGAACCACAGATTATGATGAATGTCCTTGGAGTTTGCTGGGCAAAGGAATACCCTGCTCCCCCATCAATGAACTGGTTGAGAATGGATGGATGGATGTAATAACAGTCCACTACAGTATAAGAGATTTTCTTTCTTGTAAATTTACCACTTCAATCTAAAATAATATCCATGTTTTTTCCTTGTGAATTTACGATTTTAATCTTGGAAAAAAGTTTTTTATCACCTCCTCCCCCGGCTCCGTAATCTTTTTTCACCTACACTGGCCCTAATATGCTGTCGTATAAAGCTGACTGATGTCATTTTTACCTCATTATCTGATATTGAGGCATTAGCGCAACTTGTCAGGTGGACAAAAACTGACGAGCTGAACTTAGTGACCATCTCAAAGGTGCACGCAAAATGGCAAGAGAGCTTTTCAGAGTTTTACCAATAGCTTTCTCGTTGTTTTTATTGACACTTCGGGTTAAAATACAAATCATGCTTTATTAGGCTATTTGTTTAATTTAGGTATGTGGTTAGAATAATATGTTGAATGTTATTTTGTGGGCTAACTTACACAAATGTATATAAATAATTAAATGGCTTTAGAAATAAAAAATGTAATTGAAGCAGAGTAAATGATTTCCAACCATTTCTGGCTGGAGCGCCACCACCCTGTATAAAGGACAGATGAGGTTGGTGTGACACCAGAACACTTTGAGAGGGACGCTGAAGAAGTCAATTGGTTATTAAGAAAAAAGTTTACAGGAGCAAAATGGAACCCGAGAAATTCATTAAAACTACATTAAACTGAAGCGAAAGAGCAGCAGACAAATGAAAGCTGCAGCCTCACAGCAAGCTGCCGACCAGTGAAGGGCACCGAAATCACACAAAATAGTTCACAAACCATTTCTTTACTTAACATTTGTTTTTCCAAGATAGTCCCATTGAGATCTCCTTTTTCTGAGGGAGTCTTAAGTGCAAATAACAGACTAACGCAAAAAAAAAAACCTGCTAATTACATCATCCAATGCATTTACAGTGTCGTTCGGTAAGAGGACAAATACATTCAGTGTTCTAAAAGTCCTCCAGATGATGCACAATTCTTTAGTTACTGCTGACATCCTCACAATTTATGTATAGGCACTCATATATATACCAATGCGCACACCATCAATAATAAAACCTAATTTACTGCAGAACTGCCTTACCTTTTCTTCTCCACATTAACCCTGCTGAGAGGACATAATTAGACAAACCTGTTTGCACTATCACTGATTGAGCTGCTGAGCAGCTAATCTATCCCGACGTCCCGGCAGCAACCAAAAAAACATCAACACAGACCCAAACAATAGGGTGAAATCAACTTTATTGAATAAAATGAAACATTGGACTGAAATTGATATTGAAGCAGATACAAAAACACTGTTTACAGGGCTTAGTGTTTGGCACAAATCCACACAAAATACACAAAACAAGATACTTTTGTGAAATAAACAAGTACAGATAACTTAGCATTAACCCTTGGTCTGTAGACACATGTACATATTTAGCACACAGTATATAGTTGCAAATTTCTTCAAGGAATTATAACTTGAATAAATGCCTCATATGAAAATATAATGTTTGATATAAGTACTGGGTGTATGCTTCATCAGGAACCCAGATAATATATAAATCAATCTATTTTTCTCTAATAATGACGATATAAGCAACAATTATTTGGTTGCAAATAAGAGGTAAGAAACCAGGGATTTAGACCATGATGGCTGGCTGCCTCTGCTCCTTGGATTCATCGCTGGGTGCGGGATGAATATCCAATCAGCACAGTCAATTTGCTGAGTCATGCTCGGGTTGCTTTCAAATACCCTGCGGGTCTGAGGGAATAATTAAGGAACACGTTTGTTTTTTTTGTCCCGTTGAGGTTTATCCACCTATTTGTTTATTTCTTTGCCTTGATTAAAGGGGGACCTGGCAGCAAAGAACAAATAACTTCTTTATTTTCATATATTTCATATCTGCTTTTCATTTGTCTGGAAACGTCTCAAAAACATCCCAAAAGCCTTGTTTGCCGTAATTGAAAGTAATAATTGTCAAGTGTGTTTTATTTAAAACACACTTGACAAGGCTAACACTCAGCCTTGATCATGTTGCTGTATGAAACAAAATCCCCCCCGTAGTATTGACCTTTTTAAGTAGAACCAAAGGTAGATGTTTTAATCTCCAGAAATAATACAATGTGTACTTTCGACTGCGTCCCACCTCTGCTCTCCTAATGTTATTTCCTCTTTTGCATTTCAGGGATACATACTGCTGTGCTCTCTGAGTTTGCTGATGCATAGAAATAAGTGCACTTTAAAGTTTTTCGAGTTGAAAAAGCAAGGCGCAACGCCTGTCGGAAGTGGTTCAATTACCTATATTGGAATGGAACAGGGACAAGAAGGCCTGTATTTCTTCCTGGATTAATTTTTTATGTAATCCGTTGCCTTCACTCTCTCTGCATGTCATTGTGCGCCACAGTTTAGTGCCGTATCATTAGCAATTCTAATGGCATGGAGCGCTTTTCTGACTTTGATCGGCTGGGAGTGATACGAGGGGGATTCAAGTATCAAAGGCACAGGGACAAGATGATAGAACAGGATGATAACACTATCTTATCTGCAACAGGCGCCGAGGAACCTAGTAGACGGGAGATGCAAAAAAGCGAATCGCATGAAAAATTCATTGCAGCCAGGTAAAACTGAGTTCAAATCTTTATCGGTTGATGTTCGGAAAAGTTTTTAATCTCAGCCATCAGCTTGCATTGTTTGAAACTAAAATGAACTGACCCGATCTTCAGGCCGCATTGGGCTGATCTGTGATAGTGTGCCGTTGCTCCTGTGGCTGATTTAGCACGCTAAAGACACAAAGCTCGATGTCAGCAGCCTTGCATAATCCAGAGTTAGTGGTACATACGCAGCTCTCTCTCTCTCTCTCTCTCTCTCTCTCTCTCTCTCTCTCTGGTTACAGCTGTTACTAGGATGCCACCTGGGTTATCGCACTGTGAGGAAGAAAGGTGCAGACAGGTGTGTGTGTGTGTGTGTGTACAAGCATTCATGAATGGCTGCTTGTGTGTCCGGGTCCACCATTGTATCTGCTAGTGTGTGTGTGTGTGTGTGTGTGTGTGTGTGTGTGAGTGCCCTCCCTGCGTGTCCTGTCTGCTCCGGCCCAGCAGCTGCCACCCCAGGCCAGATAGGATGACATGACCTTCCGTGGTAATGAAAAGGCACTGACAAATCACTGTCTGCTTCTCATAGGGATGGAGAGGAGGAGGGATGTTGACCCCCCCCCCCCCCCCCCCTTCTCTGTGTTTTTATTACTTTTATTTTATTTTTTATTTGCCAGCGAGCCTACATTTGCGTCTCCAGTCCAACAAGTGTGACTCTTGTCGGGGGTCTGGCATCACACAACAAACGCTGCCGTTTGCGACTGAGGAGACGAGGAGATGATGAGATCTGCTTGGTCCTCTCGGTTTGCACTGGGCTCCCTGCCTCTTTTTATTTTCTTCAGCCCCAAATTGGCCTTGGTTGGGGAGAGGGATTGTCTTGGCAAAGATGTGAAAAAGGATATGCCGGGTTGTGCACCAGTCGTTTCAGCAATCTATTAAGTACAACGTGGAGAGGAGAGGAAGTGTCCTCCTTTTTTTTAACCTGTAGTGTTTTTGTTTTTTTCTAGAACATGGACTGAGCTGCATTTAATACCTTAAGCCGGAGCCTTATCTCATTTTCCTTAATTTGAGGGAGTGGAGGGAGGGAAAGCCTAGTGGACAGAGGTGTGTATGTATGTGTGTGCGTGTGTGTGTGTGTGTATGACTCACCTGTTATGGCAGGTACCGTTGTGGTCTCATCCTCACACCCACACCAGCCGCTCTGTGCTTCCTCCTGCAAGCTGTTACCTGAACTCACACAGGAAAATGCCTTTTTTTCTGTGCTTTTTTTCCTCCTCCTCGTCTTACTTTACTTGTGAGTTGTTTCCGTTCACGCACATTTCTGTTAAAACTCTCTGTGGCTCTGACACGCATCCACACACCCACTTGACATTGCTCGCCAGGCTGACTGGGTCATGTTTTATATTCCACGCCGTGGTGAGTTGGCAGCGCGTCTCGCGGTCTGAGCCTGATTCCCTGCAGTGGCAGCGTGACTGGTTGGTGCTGCTGCATAGACACACGCAATATTGTGTGTATGTATGTATGCGTGTTCGCTGTATTTCTTAATAAGCACTTCAGCACCACAAGCAGAAGAGGAAATGATCTCCTTGTCGATTTTGTCAATGTGGCCTTGGAAGAAGACGGCTTATAGAAGACAAAGTCAAATTTTAATTTGCTAATCAAATTTCAATTAACCTCCGGAGGTAAATTGATTTGAAGTGTATTGACCTGCAGCAACTTGTCTAAGCCAGCCGTGTTAGTTGGTACCATACATGCTATACGTTGATAACGGTACTGTTAGGTTTTGGGCCTCCTGAATTATTAATCACTGGCCACTTCCTCCTTGTTCAGTGCATGATCAGCAGCCTGCCAACCACTTTATCCTCAACCTACCTCGCCATGCACGTCTCCAAACAGCATTCTAATATATTATTAATGGTCTCACAGTTGCACAGAGCAGCCCTCCACCCACAAGTATCCATTACTCCCTCTCAGCGCAGTTAACCAATATGAACTGCAGAACAAATTGGTCCAATTAATTTAAATTAAGGTGGAGGTGGAGAGAGCGGGGGAAAGAGGGGAAACAGCAGACAGTCCGAAAAAAATGAGACAGTACATCAGTCTGAAAATGTCTTTTATTTGAGGGGAAAGGTTCAAGGTCCATCAAACTATTGCACAATTTATATATTATATATATTTATATTTTTGTGATCTAACCACCTACTTCACAGAGTTTTAAAAGATAATTTTACATAAATGAGGAGCACCAGGATTATTTTTGTAATCCTCATTTGTATATGAAGGTATCAGCGTGGATTGTAGCTAAGCAACAGTTGTACCATAAATATATTGTCGAAGAAAACAGGACATATTGTGCAGAAGGAAGGTCGCGTTAAGCGAGACAGATGAACCTACTCAATTCTGCTAAAAAAGAAGCGCTTCATTTACACTCTCCACTTATTTTCCACAGGAAGCGGCCTGACGATGACTTTTATCCCTCGAGCACAGACGTTCCCCAGCTTTCTGTCTGATGAACAGGAGGAGAGCCAGCACCAGGAACAGGCACCGTCGCCCTCTAGTGGCCCTGAATCCAGTTGCAGCCGGAGACCCCTTCAATGACAAAGAGACTGATCCACCAAAACCGGACACTTTCCCCACCACTGTAGAGAGGATGTAGAAATGTGTACAGTGACATGTGTAATATATTATTTCCTGCTGACACTTAAACAATAGTGTCAACTGTAGAGCGAGTGACACATGATGAGGGTCCTGAAAAGGACCTTTTTTGTGTGCGGTGTGCGACAGCAGCAGTAGCGTCAAAGATTGCACCAAAAATCCTGTAAGTGTAGTTTTTAATGTGTTTTATGTTGTCATTATGCTGTTGAGAGCCAGCAGGACCTCCTTTTTTTTTGGGGGGGGGGGGGGGGAATCACTGCATTACCTTAAGAAGTAAGAGGTACAAACACACTAAGGCCCATTGTAAAACAGTGTTTAAAAAAAGCCTTTGTTCTGCAATTGATGAAATCACACAACTCATTCCAACAATGTGCAGCCTCAGCAACCATTCTAAGACAAACTCACAAACTCACTGTACTTTGCTCCCTCGCTAGAATGTGAAATTGGTCAATGTCTTACATAGAAACAGCTCGACTTAGGTGGCAGTGATGAATCGGCTAAAGCCCTCAGTTACAACCAGCAAAGGGTAAAAGTCATTCAGAAATGTAACGATATATAGGAGTGGACCAGAAATGGTAAAATGCCACCTTCTCACAGCCTCTACTTTAAACTGCCAACCATACACTACACTAGCAGATCAGTTTGATTCCGAGCTCTTCTCCAGCCTCATAACCGGTTCATTAGCAAAAGCAGAGAAGCGAGATGTTGGTGACCTGATGGGGAGAGTTAAAGAAAGCAATAGTACATCCATGACAAGGGACTCAGATGTGGATTGTGGCAACAAAATCATGGTGATATTTGCCAAGCTGGTATTTTCATGAAAGATTCAAATTTAGAAAAAAATATTTGCATCATGAGCTGTGTTTTACGGAGAAAAGCTGTGGTCATTAAAATACACAAAATAGGGAAAAGTCATTAAAGGAATAGTTTGCTTTCTTGTTGAGAATTAGATGAGAAGATTGATCTTCTCATCTAAAAAAAGGTTTTTCCAGATTGTCCAAAAAATACCTTCATAGCATTTTGTTTTCCATCATGAGCAGCTGCATAGAATCCAGAAAGAAATGCTATCAGTGGTGGTTGTCACTGAAATCAACAGAAAACCTATCAAATATTTTCAGTAATTTCTTTCCGTGGCGTTTAAGTGACATTTATCACAGTCAGTGACGATAGCATTGTCCTCCTCGAGTAAGAAGTGCCTTCCGACACAGACCGCAGAGTGTGAGAGCTAACCAGAGCAAACGTCTTTGGGCTTTGAGTTTACAATCGTGGACAGAGTTCAGCTCTGTAGCCTAACCCTTCAACACATTTTGAAACGTCTTAAGTTCCTCTTAAATACTGTCCGACCAGCTTTGAAATGCCATATCACCCCGAAAACATTTAGCGAAACCTAACCAGAGCTCTTTTAGAAAGTTGAGAAAGACACTTCTCGTTTAAATATTTGTGATGAAAGTGCTCTTTCTTTTTGTTACGTTATGTTAAAGAAAGGCAAGAATCCAGAAATTCCAGCAGCAACTATGAAATAAAAAAAAAACGATCCAATGACAATCAGTTTGAGACAGCAAAGCAGTCCTTTTAATGTCAAATATATCTGAATGTGTTTTGTTGTTGTTAAAAGATTCCTGTAGAACTGGAGATACACGTACAAGCACTTATTTTGTGTTGAAGTTAAGTTTCGCAGTCAGTCACTTTATTTTGTACATTGTAATTAAAAGAAGTCAACCTTCATGTTAATTTGAGCCTCGAACAATGTGCCCATCCATAAATGTGTCTGCATAACAGAGCCCATTGTAAGAGTATGCAGAAGGACAGTTGTTGACATACCTGGCTACATGTGTGTCCTAGTTGTCCTGAGTCTTAGCTCAAGTGTGGTTAACACATGTATATGTATAATAGTTCCACTACATCTGGAGCATTTAGAGCAAAACTGAGAAGACTGGAGAAAGTTCTAGTTGACCATTTATCATTTGTAAATGTTGTACTTTATGTAGCCATTCGCTTGTTTGTAGGTATGACGTGTCAGATTTCTGTTATTGCTACTACAGTAGGCTTTATGATATAGTTTGTGTCCATCATGTTCTGGGTTCTGGTACTGTCAGATGATGTGTTTATAGCACTTTGGAAACATTGAGTGTAGGACTACAGTTTTCACTAAATGTACATAATGTAATGTTTTTGATGACAAAAAGGTAATAAATTGAATGTTCTATCATGTATCAACATATTTTATATGCTAGTAGTAATGTTGAACGCATTTGTGGAATTGTCCGACATCTTGGGAAATACACTTATTTGCTTTCTTGCCTAGAGATGCATAAGAAGATTGATTCTTCTCTTATATAAATATGAAGCTAGCAGCCAGTTAGCTTAGCTTTAGCACAACGTTTTGTTACAGGGCAAACAACTAGCCTGGCTCTCTCCAAAGGTAAATCCGATTACCGGCACCTCTGAACCGATGAAGTAGTATAAAGGTCTTCTCAGACCAAACACGAATAATGTGTGCGAATTAATCCCATGTCAATGAAAAGAAAACGTCTATCTCTATGATGCCATATTGAAATCATATTTCACAGTGCAGGATTGTTTTAAGTGCAGCTGGTTGGATGCCGATTAAAAACAAGCCAGCCCCATAAAATAATGACTTTTGCTCCCTTAAAATCAAAAGATTTTCTCGCACGTCAATGTCATAAAGGTCTCAGTCCCACGTGCGTATGAAGGCAAGTTGACATTACCTGTCGAGGTGATATTCACGCTGAAACGTCACAATGTTTTTTTCTTTCTTTAGCACCACCAATACGAAATGCAACCACATTTGAACTTTTCCACACAGTATTGCATACTTTGAATAATAGCCCCTTCTCCAGTGGGTAGAGTTGTGTTGGTTTATTATAGTAAAAACAACGGTGAATTGATGATTGTGTTAGCTGATTGTGTGTAAAGGCCTTTTACTATTTCTTGGCTGGGCACAGGAACTTCCTGAAGCATCCGCTGACGACAGGATTCCAGGAAGTGACTGCTCCCAGCCAAATCACAAATTGTTATTTTTACGTGTTGTACAGATTAAACAAGCAAAATACAACATAATTAGTGAGCTTATGACATTGTTTTATTTATACCACATTGGAGTCATTTACGGTCACACACATCAGCTTCAGTATTGCTGGTAACACACACAGCATTACAAGTATCATAGTCAAATGTACAGTTGCAGCTTCTACTGTTTTGCCGGAAACAGCGAGATGAGACATTGAAGGTAAAAACTTGTGGTTCCAAACTATATTGTCCCCTTTTATGTTCCACATTTCTAGCTTGTCCACATTTGTCTTGTTTCCTAGCAGGATAGCCTGCATATCCATTACTGCCTCTGCCACAGCCTCCATTTCTATGGAGATAAATGAATCACATTACACATAAACAACACACAGCTTAATAGCACTACCATAAACCTTAAATATTGATTTACTGAAGCCTATAGGCAAGCTTAGAAATCAAACAAAAATAAATACAACGTGGAAGACTTGTGACAGCTTATCATAAAAAATGACTTTTCTTTTTTCAATTATATTTTCAAAACGCAGAGTGAAAAATGAACCAACACATTCATCAATAAACAGTTGATAGACAAAGAATAAGGAGCTGTAAACTAAAGCACAGGATTATCCAATTAGAGTTTAGCTTTCATAATAAGAGCATGCTGTAACTAGAATGCAGCCATCCTAGACGGAGAGCCCTTTGGGGAAAGCGACAGTCTCAAGTGATGGTACAGTGCTGAGTGACTGCCTCTCTTTTCCCGTTAGATGATTAGACACCATTGTCAAGCTTTGAATGGAAACCAGGAGGGATGAAAGTAAAAGGAGAGCAATTACACAGGCTTTTGTCAATCGTTTTACTCGGGGGTTGGGGACGTGAAAGGAATGATTATACAGGCTTTTGTCTGCATAACGGTGACTGTCAAATTTTGTTTTGCACAAAACAAATATTTCCTCAACAGTAATTATGAAGTACATACTACATTTAATTAGTGGGAGCAGGGTTGAACACAAACAAACCCGTCAGCCCTCTGAGACTCACATGAGCAGCAGCTTAACTCATGCCAAACCACAGTGTGAATATTAATCAGTGTGATCCCTCCCTGAAATAATTAGAATCAGCCCAATGTCAGTGTATGTTCCTTCAGAAAGGTCTTCAGACCCCTTCCCTTTTCGCACACTTTACTGTGTTGTAGAAGTGACAAGCCGAGCGAGGCCTTTCCTAAACTATGTCCAATCAATGCAATTTGCCACAGGTGGACACCAATCAAGCTCCAGACACATCTCCAGGATAATTAGAGCAAACAGGATGCACCTGGCAACAACGTAAGAGTGCCAGAGCAAAGGGTCTGAATACTTATACACATGAATTGAGGTTTTTGATTTTTAACACATGTTTTCACATTGTCATTATGGATTATTGAGTGTGGATTGATGGGCAAAAATGGCAAATTTCATCCATTTGAAAAAAAACTCATCTACAACACAATAAAGTGTGTAAAAAGTGAAGGGGTATGAATGCTTTCTCAAGCCAGTGTACATGAATCTGCTTTGTTTGTGAAGAACTACACGACCACATTACACAATACATCATATTTATGTATGCTCATTTATCATGAAGCTGACGTATGGTTTTGTGTGATCGCACAGTCCGTAGGTTGGCATAGATTGGGCAATTTTTGATCTGCCTGGACTTCTTTTCCACCCTGCGACACATGGAGATGTTCGCATAGAGGTTTAACTGTGAATATGAGGGAGATGTTATTAGTATATGAAGTGTTAGACAAGGAAATGTCAAAAAGTAAAAAAAATGTCAGTCTAAATGGGCAGAAATATGCTTTTTATGATACTTACCTCATTACATTACAGTTTTTTTTATTCAACTAATTCATATTAAGTCAAATTAAATGTCCTATAAGGATTACTTTAAAGAAGTAATCATTAGTTAATGTTTCAATTTCACATCTTGACAAGTTCCTCTCGTCACCGTGAGTTAATGTAAAGCAGCGTTAGTTAAGTCAGCAAGTTACATGATGACAGAATGTGCTTAATAGAGTGTAACGGTTTTATAATTGAGTGCATGTCTGAAGAGAAGGTAAGGGAGGGCCTTAAAAGTGTCAAGCGTCAAGACAAGAGTAGATATGATGACTAATGTGAGGCTCACCTCTCTCTGAGATGGGTGCAGTTTGACTCTGTACTCCTCTCTCCTGTTCTTCTTCCTGTGATGAGTATTGGACAAAAAGGAAACTAATTTTTTGCTTTTTATTGTGAATTACTCAATAATTTACCTCTCTCAACAAGTCATCGTTTTGGAAGCACTGCTCTAGCACCACCATGAAGATGACATTTTTGTTTTTCTTTGTGAAATATCTCAACAACTACTGGACGAATCGCCATTAAATTTGATAGATCTCGTGCACCACCAGAGGGTCAAAGTATCTACTGTTTCAACATCTACCTGATAAATTGGCACAAACTTTAGTTCAGACATTCATGGGTGTTAGACAATAAATCCTTAAAACTCTGGAGATCGCATGACTTTTCCTCCAGCCCCACACCATGATGCTAGAAGTTGTGGTCTTGACTGAAATGTCTCGACCACTGCCATGAAATTGGTTCCATATAGACCCATATTTACACAATCAATATTTATGTTTTGCTTGCTAAAGATATATTAAACCACATTGTGGGATCTTACCTGCGCTTCACTGCTAGTATAATGATGGCAATGAGTAGAATAAGCCCAGCAGCTCCAGCCCCGATGTACATATACATCATGTACACGGATAGGCTGAATCCACCTGGAAATGAGAGAAAATACTTGTGGTAAAGTATTTGTGGTGTTTGCTCATGACTCACCGATACATCGCATCAAAGCATGCATGTAGTGTGCAGACACACACATCTCCCTAAGTATTGAGCGATGTGAAACAGGATGTTGTGGTTTCAGCAGGTGAGTCTGTCTGAGTTTGCTGAATTATTTGAGCTTTACATTAGAAGCAATGTTTTATTGTATTAATTATGTTTAATCAAGTATCTATCAATCATTTAAAGTATGATAAATGATTCATCACCCAAGCCATAAGGCCATATATACAGTATATATATATAAGTATTTTCAGTGCTGCATGATGTCTGTCTTTGTACCTGGAGGGGGCACAATGAGCAGCACTGTGGTGGTCCGCGGCCCTGCGTCTGTGCTGAAGCTACAGCGGTAGAAACCGGCATCTTCCGGCACCACACCCGTCAGGTGCAGACTGACATCCAGGCTGTCCAAACAGCTGACTCTGCCCCTGTCGCTGTAGTCCTCGCTCACCAGGCCCCCTTCCACCTTCTTACACACTCCGATGATGGCCCAGGCCTGGCCATGCGGCATCTTCTCCAAAATGACCTGGTAAATGGTGCCGTTGTGCTGGTGGTTACAGCCGATGGTCACGTTGTTGTTCGGCTCTGCCACCAGCTCCGTGTTGGTCTCGATCGCCTCTGGACTGGGGGGCTCTGTGCCGTTGTCTTCCTCTGGGGGCTCATCTGTAAACACGAGGTGGATGACACACAGGAAATAGCTCGTCAATGAAATCTAAATGAGTCAAGGAAATTAAAATTAAAAGACTTCCACCTCAGTACTTTCTCACATCTTTTACCTAAGTCTTCCACCTGAATGTTCCTTGTCCAGGGGCCTTGAGGGAAGGTCTGAACCGAGCAGTGGTAGACCCCGATATCCTGGTGAGTTACGTTCCTCATGGAAATACTTCCATCCATAGGCGTGGTCCTCAGGAACTCTATCCTCTCCCGGTAGTGCTGAGAAAAGTCCACTCCATACTCTGGATGGAAAACGGCTACCGGATCCTTGTCTGGTACTTTGGTCCAGGACACCATGCTGAGGTTGCCATCCCAGGGGCACAAACAGCTGAGAACCATCCCTTCCTCCAGACGGACTGAAACAGCCTCCATCTGCTGGACAGCACCTGGATAGAGTGCATTTTTCTTTTAAATCGCAATCTTGACACAATCTAGAAATCATGACTCTGTAAATAAAAATCTGTAAATCGCCTACAAGAATAATAATTTGTAGGATTATAATATAGCTGATTCATCCTATTTTAATATTGAATATATAAACAAATATATGTATAATATATACATATAAACATTAATATTAAAACAAATAAAAGGAAATCATGTTTACACCTATGTTACTTAGCAAAAAAAAAGAAGCCATGTTTAGTCCCCTAAATCTCTCCTACTTGAAGATTAACACAGCCATTCACAGCTATGAGGCCATGCCTTGGTTAATGGTAATCAAGCTAATTTGAGCCACTACACAAAAACACGACTGACAATAGTTGGTGATCAAGCTTCCAAGTTTACAAAGCCTTTTATCCGAGCTGAATGACAATTGATTTCAAGTCCAGTGATGCCCCTGGGAGAGTTCTGGCAGGTTTAGAATAATAATGTCTTGTAAAACTCACAATAACAAGCTTTCCTACCATCTTCTCTGCCAATTAAAAAAACAACAAATAATGGAATAAAGGAATGTTCAGTTTTAATTACTGATTATGAATGAAGTATTATAAAATGACGAAACTACATGAAAAGTATTTCGATAAATTAGACTTTTCAGAGTAGCCCACCGAGAGACAGTGAACGCCACTTTCAACTTTCAATAAAAGTGTGGTCTTGTGACACATTACCATTCATGAATCTACTGTAAACTTTAAAATATACAAATATATATAAACTCCATACCTTTAAGAAAATGAAGAAAGATGAGTACCACGAAGTACCAGTGGTCCTTATGTACAGCTTCCATCTTGCCCCACCGAGGGAGAATGAAAGCTGCATTGATGAGACGAGTCGAGAGGCGACCGAGCTGCACTTCCTGCTAGCTCTCTGGCTGCAGGGGAACACTTGAGCAACTGGGGCACTTCATGGTAGAACACTGCTGGCTCATTCCACACAGAGGGGCACTTCACCACTGGGGCTGGGAATGAGAGGAAAGCTTGTGGCACAATGTGGCCCGGTGGGATCCACACCGATGTTGCCTTCAGCTACCTACATGCAAGAATTTCTATCCTTCAATTAGGACTTTTGAGAACTTTTTTGACATTTCGTAAAACATAAAATTATGATTAAAGGGTGTGCATCTTTTAATTAAATTATAAACTAAAAGTATGTTTAGTTTGTGAGGTTTCAAAGATTTCTAAGAATGACAATGTCAGTCTGTTCACCACTTTAGTCCAGACTCAAATAGCTCTCATGGATTGCCATTCAATTTAGTCCAGACATTCATGGATCCCAGAGGATGAATCCTACTGATTTTATGAGCCCCAACTTTTCCTCTAGCGCCACAACAAGGTTGACCGTTTTGGTTGAGAATGAAATAGTTCGACAGCTATTGGATGGATTAAAAGAATTTTCCAATGGTATTCAAAATTTCTTAAAGATAAATTAATTTGGTGAGCCCCTGACTTTCTCTAGAGCCACCATGAGGTTTACATTATTTATTGAAATATCTCCACCAGATTGCCATGACATTTGACAAAGACTTTCCTGGTCCCCAGATAATGATTGGCATGAACTTTCATCCAGCGCCTTTCGTCAGGTCAAAATTTCAGTTTATCCATTATGGCCTGAAAAAATGATGACATTCACATCCGCCTCAGCTGTACTTCGTGCTAGGTGTGAATTTGCAAATGCTAGCATGCTAACTCGCTAAGTTGAGATGGTGAGCATGACAAACGTTACACCCGCTAAACATCAATACGCTAGCATTTTCATTAAGCATGTTAGCATTCTGATATTAGCAATTAGCTTAATGCATACCATGTGCTTAAGTAAAGTCTCACAGAGCTGCTGGCCTGTCCTATTGTTTCCTGTAAACACACCGTTTCTAGTGTATGTGGAAGCTTCTCTTGTGGTCATATGTGAAGAGCAGCTTAACACCACCACAACCACAGCTGTGTCTAAAGCCCAAACAGGCGTACTTCCTGTAAAAGGTACATTGTATATAAAAACACCACCATGTATGATGCTAGTTCTTACTTTGTCCCAGTGAAATCAGACCACACAAGACAGCAGCTAAAATCTGCCACATAGCACTTTAATATCAAAATGAATTCATATCTGATAATTACAAAACATATTACAGCAAAACAATATAAACACAATTAGTTATTGAGCAGCTGGGAAAGGTTTTCAAGGCACTTCAGCAGGTAGGTCCTCATAGGATCCTGCTTCTTCTCTGCATCTGCAGTTCATAGGAAAGAAAAAGCATGGTAAAACAATAGGAAGTGCAAAACCTAATGTTCATTCAGCACAAGGGCAGGTACCCCATGTGTCTTCATCAAAGTGAATAATGCATACCCTTCTTAGAGATGGTACGCGCCTCCTCAATTCTCAACCGAACAGAGGGACACTTCAAAGTAGTCTTAGCCTTTGAGGGAAAATTACAAAGACAGATTAGGAAGCAGATGAGCGGTCTTTTTTTTTTCAGTTTATAATCAGGAGATAAAAAGCGTTGGTCATTTCCTCTGTATGCGAGGGGACAATGGAGAATTCAAGCTGATTTATTCATAGGAGCAGACTGAATGAAGACACGCCGTGATGTAATTTGAAATGCATCACCAATAAACTCCAATACCAGCCAGTGAAATGCACTAAAATAAAACTGTGTTTGTGCATGTGTGTACCCTCTGATTGTTGTGGAGCAACGCCCAAAGTGCAGATGCTCCCAGAGAGCGGGTTTCCATCTCTTTACTGTTCAGACAGCAGAGTAACACCTTTATGGCTTTGTCTGAAAGAAAGATACGCAGATAATCAGAGGCATCCATCAACTGTCAGATAAACATCAATGTGCTGAAAATACAATTTGTTTGATTCAAAATGACAAGAACAGTACCGTTTAAAGGGTTCCTAGTTATCAAAACACATAATATACAAGCATGTAGAAAACCGACCAAGATAACAACATATTGATATTTTTAGGTGCAAATAACTGATAAACTACACTATTATTATCTGGGTAATTACCTCAGTTATTCATGTGCATATTATTTAAAGGCAATGTGGTCATATTACGCATTTCCTGCAAAATGATTGATTTTGATCATCCTACACAACATACACAGGAAATGTGATCTTTCCACAGGAAACAAAAATCCACCCACCTGGGCCTACAATGCTCACCTACAGCTTGCATTGCAGAGGGGGCGCGCGCGCGCACACACACACACACACACACACACACACACACACACACACACACAC